CTATTCTCATATTCTGTAGCTTTAAGTTGAATTATTTAAAGCAATCATCAATGTATATGTATTTATTTTCATTTGTTTATTTATTTGCAATTTTCATTTTCATAATTTATTTTAAAACCTAATTCATCAAATGCAAATGCCAACATGTATTTATTATCTTTTAACCATCTAATTGTACATAATTTTTAAACTTAAATACTTCTTTAATTTACAACCCAATGCTTAATAAATATACAATAAATATGCAATAAATAATTTAAATAAAACAATTTACTTTCTTTAGGAAATCTGATGAATCCCAAGAACTACAACGTTTCTTAAGATCTACTAGATACGATGGTATACATAACTATGTATATGCTTTATTTTCATATGCCGTCTAATCAGGTTGCTGAAAGTATTTCACCTAATTTATCAAAAGGAGTCCATTTAACCATAAGTCAAAATTCTTTAATGCAATCATTGACATTTTTATTTCTACTTATCCAACTATCTGAGTATCAAACATCTAGTACCAGGTTTTAAGTGTAATAATGAGTTACACTTGGCGCATTTTCATTCTTAAAAAATTTATCCAATACTAGCATACATTCAGTGATGGTTATACTTCTTATTTTATTTTTTCCAATTCTCTTAGAACCGCTTATCTAACACCAGGCTTTAAATAAAAATACCAGTGCTCATTTTTACAAGTAATACAACCTCACAAAAAATTTAGATTAAACACTGAGATCGGATCAGGTAGGGTTTATGATTAGAATAAGTAAAATTTCTCATTTTTAATTGGTGCTATTTTCATAAACTAGGCCTGATCTTCAATTTAAACATCTATAATAATTATATGTTTAAGTAGAAGGTATAGTACAATACCATTCACACTTACGGCATTTCACCCAACTCACAAACTTCATAAAAATTATCAAGAGCGAAGACTTAATATACCAGTTTCAGATGTCAATGCTGAATGATCCAGAGTGTGTAGTCAAGGCTTTATGATTTCAAGTACAGTGGCTTTTTTTATGATAATATTACTGTGACATAAATATGACTAACTTATTTTCAAAAAGTTATATTATTCACCAACTACGAGTAGGTTATCTTTGTCATCTAAGAGATCCAAGTGGAAAATGCATAATTAGTTTCAGCACAAATATTCTCATGAATGACTACGTCAAAGCGGCTTTATCTTCAAAGCCAGAGATGTTAATTTGTCATTCACCTGACATTTGCATGCCAGGAAATGACCACTTCAGTGAACTTGCAATTAGTAGTGCTGCTGCTTCACCCATATCAAGTGATGAACGTAAAATTGTTACTTACTCAAATAAAAGTGGAGATGTTGTAAACATATAATGATAAGAAGAGTGAAGCATAAGCAGTACGAAAAATGGAGAAATGATGATAACATATAATATAAAAATTCTTTCCTAAAATTTACGATTATCCAATTCATAGTATAGAGATGGTGAATTTTGATTTTATATTATCGATCATTCGTGATCTTTCGTATTTAGCCTTTTTTTCATATTTTTTAAATAAAATTAGGTTCCGAATTTAATGATTAGTGCATTAGATTTTAGTTAGGATTGAACACATTAATAAAAAGTTTAGTAATCAATAAAATTTAGTTATGGGATAATTTGATACATATTTCATATTGCAGTGAACAAAATTAAGTAATTTTATATATTTTAATTCTTAAAAGAGAAAAATTAAAGCATAGATACTATTCAATACTGATTAGTGGAACAATAAGTTTTTCGACCTATCATATTACTCACTCTCACCATAATATCTTCTTTTATCCTATATTACCTTTAATAACAACGATCGAATCCATGATGTTCAAAATGTTTAAAATTTGTTTGACAACGTACTAAACTTCATATTGCAAGTTCTAGTAAAATAATGCAGTAATAATCAAACCTTAAAATCAATTTTTTGTGGTATACCGGTTTGATCATTGGTATGATACTAAAATTGAAATTTGTTTTAAGAGTATAAATTAAAATTAGAATTGAATGCAACAAATAAATCAAACCTTAAAAAAAATTTGAATCAACTTCCTTTCGTTTAAGATGAATAATATCTAGGATAGTGAAATTTATGATTTAGAAACTAACAGTGAACCTGAAATCAATGATAATAACAATAATAATAACAGTAGAGAAATAGAGTCTTCTCCTAAATCATTATCATCTGTGTTAAAAGACAAAAAAACTACTGGTCTACCAAAAAAAAGAAAACAACGCAGACTCATAGCTGAAGCATGGCATTATTTTAAAATAGAAGGAAATTTCACAGTATGCCAAGTCGAAATAACTCAAGATGGAAAAACAAAAAAGTGCGAGCAAAAATATGACTGTATTAATTCAAATTCAACAACATCAATAAATTATCACATAATACAAGAACATGATATAGTTCTCAAAAGTCTGGCTAAAAAGGTATTATTAAATTTATCATTAGGCCATACAAATTTAATAAATTAGTTCTTATAATCTGGTCAGATCAAATTTTGAAAAAATTTTTTTGACTATATTGATTATCCGGGTAGATTTTTTCAGACGTTTATTAAAAAATTTTACATTTTTTGCAAAATTTTAATAGGCGGAGAAAAAAGAACAAGTTACACTTGAACAAGTTCTAGATAATGTAAAACCGCATGGTCTGAATAAACAAAATGAACTACAAGCAGCATGTACAGAGTGGATTATTATGGATTCTTTATTCTTTAATACACTTTGTGGAGAAGAATTTTAGTGATTTATAAAAAAAATTGATCTATGGTTTAAACCACCATCTAATAAAGGGTGTAAAAATTTTATAGCAGTGGTTTATCAAGATGAAATAACCTAACTTAAGACAAAAATTAATGAAACATGTGAATATGCTACCATTACTACGGATCTCTGGACTGCCAGATCTAAATTTGGATATATCGGCATTATGGTTCATTGGCTCACACCTAATTTTGAAATTATTGATGTGCTTCTTACTATTAAATGTATGCGGTATCTTCATACAGCTGAGAAAATATATGATTATATTGATAATAAAATAGGTGAATTTGGTTTAAATAAAAAATTATTTTTAGGAGTTACCGATAATGGTTTCAATATAAAAAAAGCTTTTACTATATGGGAAGATATTGAATGGTTATCCTGTTCCACTCATACTCTTCAATTATCAGTGACGAAGGGTCTAAAAAAAATTGGTCCTTATATAAAAAGGTTCAAAGAATTGGTAAAATTTTTTACAGAATCAGTTAAATAATCTGAGTAGCTTGATGAAGCACAAATAGATCTTGCACGACAAAATCATATTCGAGAAGAGAATGTTGAAATTGTTCGATTTAATCTGTTATCAGCTCTTGATATAGATGAAGAAATTGGTTCAGAAGAAGAGGATAAAGATAGAGAAATTGATGAATCTACAATAAAAGTGTTGCGTAATATCACTGATATTTGTACTATATGAAACTCTAGTTAGTATTCATGGACAAAACTTTTAGAATTAAAAGATACAATAATATGGTTAGCATCTGTGTTGTCCTTAAAGAAAGGAAAAGAAAATAAAAGAGATAGTCAAAAATTGTCTCAGTTACTATTAAAAGATTATGAGTGGGATTTGTTAAAAAGAA